GTGTGTGTGTGTGTGTGTGTGTGTGTGTGTGTCAGGGTGTTGTATACCAATACCAAAGTTATGTTTCAAAATTTGGAAACCGCAAAAAGTTCTTACTTTTTGTAGGCCTCAAAGGAAAACTCGACTAAAAATTTGAAGGTGATGGAACCGAGTCGAATAGTGTGACTAATACACGCTCATGCACTTTAATTAGGGGGAACCAAGTAGGCCGATGACAATGTTTTAATGCAGCCTCAGAAAATGACCCTCAATTGTTTCTCGATACAGTTGGGGCATGAAGCGATCGTATGGGGTTGCTTTTAAATGTAAAGAATACAGAATGCACGGTAACATCTTTATTTTTTTTAAATCAGTAAAGCTGGCATTCCATATGCCCGAAAAACTGATGCGAACTTCGGGTGCGAATTTCGTGTACGAAATTCGGGTGCGATGAAAAAAGAGCCCTCCTTCCATATACGCGAAATTCGTATCCGTCATCTGACTGAAATCACGGCACCAGTTCTGTCAGAGCAAGCACTCTACGTTGAAAACAAGAGAATTTTGCTGTTAGAACTCCTGTTCCTACGAAAGCAGCTTTAAATTGCTTTGTCCAGACTTGATGAAGGTCCATCCTTCTTAAGCTTTGCTTTCTTGGGTCGTTTTCTTTTCGAAGCTTCGGTCCTATCACCGACAGCGCTGGCTGATGTGGCTGCGGCACAGACAGCAATCTTAAGTTATAATTAATGTATGTTAGAAGATATATTCAAGTGCATTTAATTAAGGAGGGGGGGGGGTGTAAGTGAAATGCTATTTTTAGTTATTACATGATTTAAACGATAAATGATAACATAGATAGATTACATAGACTCCCGAAAGTTTCCCACAAACTAAAAAAAAAAGTGGTTGCCCTGCAAATAACAGTCACCTTGAAAATAAACACCTCTTTTCAGTCTTGGTGTTAACACTTCTCTCTCGAACCAAGGAAATCAACATTTCGACGTTTTCCCACTTACCTAGTGCTTCCATGCCGCTTCGTTCCTTTGAAGTAGATTTGGCGGGAAATAAGCCCAGCCCACTTCACGAAGAATTCGCATGCGAAGAAAAAAGTTTCGCTCCCTCGTGCGAAACAAAATCTTCGCATGCGAATTTTGGACTCGGCCATGCGAAATTCCGGTATATGGATTCACCCAATGACAAAAATGTTGGTGCGAAAAAAATAATTCGCAAGCGAAATTCGCACCCGAAGTTCGCATCGGTTTTTCGGGCATATGGAATGTCAGCTTAAATCTTCTGTGTCGGCCAATCTCAAAGAAAAGGTGAAAATATTAAATAAGTTCAACAATTTCAAACATTATGGATGCATAACTACAGCTGATGCCAATATTTCATAGAAATAAAACGAAGGATTGAAATATAAATACAGAGAAATAAATCGACTCCAATTCTGAAAAATGAAAATGTCTCAATTTTAACTTAAATAAGACTGAACGATTTTAACCTAGGTCAACTCTTCTATACAATAATAAATGTTATAGAACTACCAAATATAGTGAAAATAGACTAGAAGCAACAGAAAATTGGGTTTCTAAGGAGACCGTTGAGAACTTCAAGGAAAGAAAAAAGAAAAGAAAAGAGGTGGGTAGCTCTGAATGAAGCCCGATCGTGGGCCGCACACTAATGAAACCAATTACGAAAAGGCAAATGTTGTTTTTGGAACACTTGAATCGACCTAAACCTTTGGACATATTGCCCGCTCTCACTCTTTCTCTCTCTCTCTCTCTCTCTCTCTCTCTCTCTCTCTCTCTCTCTCTCTCTCTCTCTCTCTCTCTCTCTCTCTCTCTCTCTCTCTTTCTTTCTTTCTCTCTGTCTCTTTCGCTCTCTTTTTCTCTCTCTCGCTTTCTCTCCCTCTCTATTTCTCTCTCTCTCTCTCTCTCTCTCTCTCTCTCTCTCTCTCTCTCTCTCTCTGTGTGTGTGTGTGTGTGTGTGTGTGTGTGTGTGTGTGTGTTTGT